AGATTTTTATAGCTTTTCAGATCACGCATATGTGATGTGTAACGTATATGATAGACGCATTTTACATCCCCTTGAGGTCATCTATACGCCTCCTACCTTGGCTACACCCACATTCTTCCGCTATATAAGCCCAGTTTTTGGGCACAAAACTCAGTCTCTCCGGTCCACTCGGGCTAAGTGGCGGGGGCGAGTTGTCCGCCCACTGCCCTCAGTCTTCACTACCAGGGCGGAGGGGTGTGCGGCTTAGGGGACTGAGTGGCGGGGGGCGAGGTTGGTCGCTCACTGCTCTCAGTCCCCACTACCAGGGGAGGAGGGGTGTGCGGCTTAGAGGGACTTAGTGGCGGGGACAAGTTTGTTCGCCCACTACTCTCAGTCCTCACTACCATGGGGAAAGGAAATGAGAAAATTTGATGCTTAGGAAGAGAGAGGGGGGAGGAGAAGACATTTTTACACTCACTAACCCCGCTCACCCCTCCACGCACCCCCACAACCACGGCTGCCCTTCTACTATCTCGCCTCCCCACTAGCCAGGTCATATAGCCACTGCGGCCTGGGCAACGTTGCCCTGCCTTTCTGGCAGGCTGCCAAATGATCCCAGTGAGCGACACCACGAAACACCGCTGCCAGAGATGACAGAGGGCTTCCCAAGCACCAACAACCACCAGCCGTGTTGAGCCGAGCCGAGTTGTAGTTTTTGCCAATTTGCTCGATTTTGGCAGTCAAACTGGAAGGTCTCCGTAGCCACAAAAATGCTGTTTGAGAAGAGAACAAGCATGAAAATGAATAAAACGCAGAACGTGGTGTACTATCTTCTCTGCAGGCATGTTAGGCGGAAGTTGAAGGAGGATCTCGAAATCTGCAGTCGTCAATGGAAGGCGGGAACTTTTCAAAAAACAAAGCTTGAAGGGCTGGCGGAAAAAACCGTTGCTATATTACCCCATAATGTCAGTGCTGAAGGACAGAAGCGGGTGTCACGTGACGAATCGAACAGATGTGCAAGACATCTTTAGAAAATTTTGTACACAAATCTGTTTTTATTACGTGCTGTCATTCCAGCACCTGCAGTTCGCGCCACTAAATAGCAGATCCCTCCAGTACTTGTTAGGGAGGCAAGGCACGCAACTTTCCAAATGAAAAGTGGCTTCCGGTAATGATGGCATTAGTATCGAACTGATTAGACCCAAACAGCATGAATTTTGGAAAGCTCTCGCTACCCAGCTCAATCAGCAATTGGCCTAAAAGAAAATTACCTAGTAACTGAAAAGAGTTGAAAACCGTTCTGCGGCACAAAAAGGGTGATAAGGAAGATCTGAAGAATAACCGCCCGATCTGCTTACTCCCCCATACTTACAAGTTGTTTACGAGGGTTATCAACAACTAACTAACAAGACTTCTCGACGAACAGCAACCGAGGGAGCAAGCTGGGTTCCGGAGTAATTACAGCATGATGGATCGCATATTCACTCTGAATCAACTGCTTCAACGTGCAAGGAAGTACCAGTTTTCCCTTTGTCTCCTATTTTTGATTGCGAAAAAGCATTCAAGGGAGTTGAATGCAGTGCTGCGAGATCTTATAGATGGAGGGATTGAAGGAATTATGTGGAAATCGTT